GAAATTTTACAAAATGCTCTTCATTATATTTTGATAAAGCGTTAGCTAAATTTAGCTCTTATTATAGACCAGTACCTGTAAATAGTCGTACTGATTCGGCAATAGCGAAAGTTACTATTAGATTCCGCTAAAATAGGAGATTGCTCAATGATAGATAACTGTGAATAATTGTCTTTACGTGTCAAAGAAGGTTTCTGTCAGTGCACACAAGGCGTCTCGCTTCGATTCAAAGCCATGTGCTACTACCTATCAATACCTATCAAGATATCGCCGAGAGCCTTGAATGATACTATATTGTAAGAGCAATTTTTCTCAAGCTACAATATTAAGCATATAAAATTAGAAAAATAAAGCTGAGAAAATACAAACACCTTCAGCAACAACTGCAACAAAACGTTGAGTAACATAAAACACACATCTTATAACAGATCATGTCTGAAGGAAATCAAGACGTTGAAGAAATCACTAATAGTCCTCTTCTTGGTAAAAAGCCGAAAAAATTCAAGAAAACGCTTAGAAGAGTATAACAAAGCTAATACAAGAAGACCAAGAAGCTTTGAAACCAGAAATTCAACGAGAAAGAACAACAGCAAGAAGTGACTGATAACCGTGAAAAAGAATATGGCTTTCAACGGTTTTTAAAGTAGTGTTAGGTTTTACTGTTAGGTTTTACTCGAAACAAATGAGTAAAAACATTCAGATCATACATTAAATATTAGATATATGTGATTGTTATCATGGTTAGAAAGGAAAACTTTTCTTTTTCATTTATTGAATAAATGAATAAATATTTCAGTTGTGCGCGATCCTAGTCAAAATGTTATTAATAATGTAAAATGGACTGAAGTCTTGGCTAAAAATATGTAATTCAGTTGAAAGATTATCTTGAAGACGCGAAAATTTTACAAATTCTTTAAAAACTTCATTAGATTTTAACAAAAACAATAGCTAATATTGCATTAAAGATAGTAGAACAGCGTCTGCAGAGGTTCATATATAAGTAAGTATTTTGATAGAAATATAGGATATTACATAACCGCGCAGTGATACGGAATTTATCTTCGAGTGTTGAAAAGATCTCTCATGAGTGAGCGTAGCGATTTTGAAAACAAGAAGACAAAGAAGATATAAATCAATGAAAACAAGTTATAATAACTTTTATTTAGTTCCAATATAGACGTACCACGAATGCGTTATTTCACTTAGTGAAAATAGCAACTTTTCAAAAGGGAGAAAACTTTGTTTCATAAAACTTTTTTCGGCACTTTTTTCAATTTCCTCGAAAAAGTCATTTACCTTGCAAAATTTTGTTCACATTTTCGTTTATTTAGCATTATTTGAATTTGAGGACCGCCTCTGAATTTATCACAGCCGAAAAAATGGCTAAATGTGCACTTTGTAAATCTGATGCCAGTCACATGATAGTACGTTTCTGAGTGCTAGTTACACCGAAGCTATAAACCAAAYTCCTGATTTTATAACTTCGAGTTGTTGTTGTTKTTTTTACCCAAAAACTGAATAAACCTTCTTTCTTCCTTCTGGGGTATATTCGATAAATGTACTGAAACGCCATCACTGGCAAGAAACCAATGCATTCCTTTGCGTTAAAAGGGACGTCAATTTTTTTTTCTAATGTTTTTTCAAAATTTACGTCTTTTTAACGAAGCCTCGGACTAACTTGTGTCCATTCAGTCCTGCTCTGTCTCCTTTACTAAAAACATACTCATTATAATTCAATTCTGTTATCTCATATATATACTTTACTGCTTTGAATTCATTTTTATATAATTTGATTTCAAACGAGAGAAATAAAAGTTATGAAAATTGAGGAAATATTAAAAGATAACTAGTTGCTCCATATACATTTACTATCAATATGCAAAGTACCCTCCTATCACAATTGCAATGCATAGACCAAATCGGCTAATGCGYTGGCATGTACGCGGTACCAACCAATTCAAATCATGTGGGAAAAAGAACTTTTGTTTCTAAGAATTCCACTGTGAAATCAAATTACAACGAACGATAAAGCTTACTCCCTGTTGGTTTTAATTGAGTGGAAACGTTTATAGCAGCGCGTTAGTTGATTAGGTCTATTTCCTAGAAACATCGTATGTGTTAAAAGCGGCATCGATATATTATGTGGGATCCCTGTGTTTTGTTAGAGTTTCTTTCACCTAAACCTCTAAGCCATCTTGGCGAAACACTTCGATCTCGTCTGGCTGAAAGGTGTACGATCCTGCAAGAAGGTTCTTTGCTTTAGTTGATCCAKMTGTGTAGCCCTTAATCAGTRCATAGCTAYGTCCARGGTTCGTMYAKGAGTTTGTRYTGCTACCAGCATTAKTACTAATATATATGCCCCAGTACCCAAAGGTTGGTCCGTAGCTGCTASTTCCATAAATTGCATACTGTGATYTGAAAACTTTCATTTTAAATGGCTTCAAGTTATCTTTGTTTACGAATGAAAACAGGAACGAGTTGACTGATTTGCTGTGAGAATTTTTGGTATCTTTAAAAAAGAAAACAATTATAATACGTTATTGTGAGCATAAAAAAGCTGTACCAATGTGATGGATGTTCTGTGTTAACCCCCGAATATAGMAAAGATCAACAACTGGAATACTTACGCCAGCTGACGTCTGTATAGCCTCCAAATATGTATTTGTTCACTTTGATGATTGTAATAGTCGGACCTTTACCATCACAGTTTGAATGGAATGTTCTACTGGCCCATCCGTGAAGTCTGCTTTGGTAGCATGGTACCCATCTTATTGGCATGCTCGTCACTGGAGCCAGCCATTCTGTCATTAATTCATAATATTCCTCTCGATGTTTAAGGATGTTTGAATGCAAGTTATGAAAAATACGGCGACCTGTGAGACAGAAAATCTGGTCACTTATTGAGTAGCGTTAATTTAGGTAAAACTACTGCAGAAAGATACTCTTCTAGATTGACATAAGATGAAAATGCGCGATTACAAAAACGTCACGTTATATATAAATTGGGACAAAATGCATGTCAATTTTAAAATAGCAGCATTACCTGATAAAAAACGGTTATAAAATGCAGCGACTTTATTTCATTTTTTATTTTTTCCACGTCGCAGTTTAGCCTGAATTCCAAGGGACCTATAATCCAGAGTTCCAGGGTTTGGTCCTCAAATCGAGCAAATTCTTTTTTTTTTCATTCTTTCTTTCTTTTTTTTAACTGAAATATAGGTTTTCTAGTCATGTTCGATTGTTATCGTATCAATAGTCCACTTCGCGGATAACACACAGCTATTAGAAATTGAGCAAATCGTAAAACTATTACCACCACTGGAAAGAACAGTATAAAATTAGTATGTTTACCAGGTTTGAGCATGATTCGATGAAAATTCAAGGAGAYACAGCGTTTAAAAGTCGGCAAAATTTACAAAGAAATGTATGGGCTGTCGGCATGAGATCGAGGTTGACCTTGACTTGTTACAACCTCGCCAAACATTTCTATGCAAAATTTAGTGTTTTTGAAGTGCCGTATCTCTTTGAATTTAAATCAGATTATTTTCAAACTTGGCAGATTTGCTGATTTTATGAAGCTCTTTCCAGTGATGTCAATGATAACGACGTAATGTAATATTTCGAATTATCCGCGAAATGGTGTATTTGTTTTATTAATATTTACGAGCCGCGTTTGTTAAATTTTTGAAACAAGATGATACTCGAACAGCGGCATCGAACATAGGATCGCAGTTTCGAATCTCGTCTCGAGAACTTTTTTTTAACTTTCTTTCTTTTTTTTTAATATAATTTAGTTGTTATAGGCATCTTGATTTTCTGTACATTTTGTTTTTTTAACCCTTTGACGACGGGTGTTTTCTTGTTGATTTTGGAGCTTTTTCGACCCTAACATCTTGATAAAATAATTGACTTYCATATAAGGKGCTGTCAATAAAASTATTTCGGATTTGAATTCCCTAGGGAGCGTTAATTTATGCAGGGTTTTGTAAATTTAGGTCAGACCGTTTGTTTATCGACCGGTTGGGCCTAAATTTGCCCAAAAACCCGTTTATAAGTGTTTTTTTGAGCTTTTTGCTGCCACAGGAGCCCCTAGGCTTGCATCATTAAGCTTGACTAGTCGGCAGAGACAATCTTCTGGAAGAAATCAGAGGTGGAAAGCGGTTTTTCGAAGACAATGGCTCCAAGTCATGCTTTGTTTTGAACTGGAGACACCATTGTAAGATCGCTTTCCTGGTCCATCTGTGGCAGATTTTCCAACCTACCAAGGTAATTTTGGCAATATTTGACAACCAAAGAATGCAATTGGACCAATATTTTGCCTGTAGGTGCGGGGGAGCTCACACTTATAAAATATTTCTTAAAAGAAGAATGCTGGAAGATTTATGTCGAAATTTTGTCTCTTCCCGTCATGCATTTCGGTCGTGCATAGGAGTGTATTGTACTGGGTGCTCAAAAGAGGGCTGTTGAGAGGTCTGCAGTGACTTTGACAGAATAAAAACGGGAAAATGAGGACGTGCTATCAAAGGGGTTTGCAAGTGAAGTGGACTTTTTGCTACAAAACATGTTTTGACGCTAAAAATTGAGCTGGAAATTAGTGTTTCCTGTAGTCCTCTAAACGCAAATTTTGGCATTCACTTGCCAGTAAAGTACTGTTTTGTGACTTTTTTTACCTCATTGGGAAATTCTTTGAACTTTAAGATCGACAATATTTACTAGTGAGTTCACACTAACAATTTCAGGGATATAGCTTACTATTTCGGTCACTTATCAATTTTAGACGCATCGTTCGAATTCGAACGATATCCTATAGGGCAGTCGCCAGAGGGTTAA